ATGTAATTATAATGATTGTAAGACTCCACAAATCAATACTATAATCAGAGATCAGACTCAATCCTTAATAACCATAATAGAAGGCCTTGAAGAAGGACCTTTAAAAGTAGAATTTATCAAAAAACTTAATGAATTTGTAACAAGAGAAGAACCAAAAGCAGTAGTAATTAAGCCTATAGAAATGACAGAAGTCTTTGAAAGGTTTCGAACTCCTAGTCAACAAACTACTATAAAAGATTTACAAAAAGAAATAGTAAATTTAAAAACAGAAATAAAAGAACTAAAAGAATATAAAAAAGACTTAGAAATTAGATTACTTTCTTTAGAAGGTAAAGAGATTCTTAAACTACAAGAAAATCAAATTGGTACATCAGGAACAAAGGTAGATGAACAACCAGATATATTTAATTTAGAATTATTAACATTGATAACTTCACACAAATGGTGGTGTGAAATAACACTAATTGTAGAACAGGAAAAGTTTAACTTAATAGCTCTAATAGACTCAAGAGCAAATGTTAATTGTATACAAGAAGGAATAATTCCTACAAAATATTATGAAAAAAATTACAGAACAATTATCAGCTGCAGGAGGAAATAAACTTAAAATAAATTACAAATTATCAAAAGGAAAAATTTGTAAAAACAAATATGTTTTACCACATCATTTATATTAGTAAAAGATATAGGAAACAAAATAATATTAGGAACCCCCTTTCTAACATTATTATATCCTTGTGAAATTAACAATACATGAATTATTAGTAAGGTAATACCAGATAAAGAAATAAAATTTGAATTTCTACAACCACCAAAGATTAGAGAACTAAATTTGGTACAAGAAGCATTAATAACTAGAATAAATCAAATAGAAAGAAAACAAAAACAAATTAATTTTATTAATAAAGAAATTGAATATAAAAGAATTGAAGAACAATTAAAAAATGAAAAAATTTAAAAAATTATATAAGATTTTGAAAAAAGAATTACAAAAGAAATTTGTAATTTAAATTCTATAGCATTTCACCATAGAAAGAAATATGAGATAGAATTACCATATGAAGAAGGATTTGATGAAACGAATATACCAACAAAAGCTATACCAATACAAATGAATGAAGAACAACTAAAATTTTGTAAACAAGAATTACAAGAATACTTAGAAAAAGGATTAATTAGATCTTCAAAATCACTGTGCAGTTGTACAGGGTTTTATGTAAATAAAGCTTCAGAACAAGAAAGAGGGGCTCCAAGATTAGTAATAAATTATAAGCCCCTTAATAAAGTATTAAAATGGATTAGGTATCCTATACATAATAAACAAGATTTAATCAAAAAGTTAATTAATGCCAATATATTCTCAAAATTTGATATGAAATCAGGATACTACCAAATATATGTAAAAGAACAAGATAGATACAAAACAGCTTTTGTTGTACCATTCAGGCATTTTGAATGGAATGTAATGCCTCAGGGACTAAAAAATGCTCCAAGTGAATTTCAAGAGATCATGAACAATATATTTTATCCATACATGAACTTTTCAATAGTTTATTTAGATGATGTATTAATTTTTTCAAAAGGAATCAACCAACATACACAACACTTAAATAAATTTATAGATTTAATAAAACAAAACAGGTTATACGTATCTGCTAAGAAAATAAAAATTTTCCAAGACAAAATTAGATTTTTAGGATTCAATATTTATCAAGGAACAATAACACCTATACAAAGATCTATAAAATTTGCTGATAAGTTTCCAGATCAATTAAAAGAGAAAACTCAATTACAAAGATTTTTAGGGTGTTTAAATTATGTGGCAGACTTTTTACCAAATATTAGAACAATATGCGCTCCTTTATATAAGCGTCTCAGGAAGAATCCCCAACCTTGGGATGAAGAAATGACCAAAATAGTCCAACAGGTAAAAGTTTTAATTAAAAACCTCCCTTGCTTAGGAATACCAGATCCTTCAGCCTATTTGATTGTAGAAACAGACGCCTCAGATATAGGATATGGGGGAATTCTTAAACAAAAATTACCAGAGTCTAAAACAGAACAAGTTATAAGATATTATTCAGGAATATGGCATCCTGCACAACAAAAATATTCTACTGTTAAGAAAGAAATTTTAAGCATTGTTTTATGTATTCAAAAATTTCAAGATGATTTATTTAACAAAAATTTTTTAGTAAGAACGGATTGCAAAACAGCACCTTCTGTTTTACAAAAAGATGTCCAAAACTTAGTTTCAAAACATATTTTCGCCAGATGGCAAGCATTATTATCTAATTTTGATTTCGAAATATAACATATTAAAGGAGAAAAGAACTTTTTACCAGATTATTTAACAAGAGAATTTTTACAGGAAAAATATCAAAAATGACCAGTGCCGACTATGCCCTACCAAAAAAGAGTGAACCAGAAATACCAAAAAACTCCACTAGAGATAAAGGTAAAAAGCCAATGACTTGCTTACAGGTATTACAAAATAAAGCTCAAATCCAACCACCAGAATTAAAACAATATACAGTTTTAGCCAAACCAGGACAAAATTCCCAGACAGCCACTACCCAAACTAGAAAATTACTATCATGGGCAGAATCTGCCTATAAAAGACCCACAATAACTGATAAGACTCCAGAATACTTTGAAAAACCATATGGCTTTCCAATAATGGAAATAGAAGCCGAATGATTTAAATTAAACCGTTCAGAAATAGCAAAAAGAGTTTTCCCTCAAGATTGTCATGTGGTACCAACATCATCAGAACAAAAAAGAGAATTTTATGAGTTAATCCTTATTGATTCAAAATCAATAGAATTAACCCATAAAAGAAATGAGAAAAAAGAAATCATTTTTTTAAAATTCAAAATCTGTCAGATACTCACTCCAAAAGAGTGGGGACAACACTTATACTATTATTGAAAGTTTACAATAGAATATCAGCCTCCACAATATAATTACTTTGATTATATAAAAGCATAGGAGAAATTTCTATTTCTTCAACCAGACACCCATTCCTGGTTCATTTGGTTCAGGAAAGGGATTTCTTTATATTTTTCAAAATGGTTTTCAGCTAGGTTTCATAATTTTGGGCCAGTTAAACAGATCCTACCAGAAAGAGCTCAAATTGCCTTAGCTTATTTCCAAGAAAAAACCAACTTTCAAGAACCATACAAATTCATTTCCTTCATAGCTTCACAAGGTATCTCATGGATTATGATGTGGCAATATGATTCAGCCAAATTAGAATATGATACATCAATACAATTGTTAATCAGAACCATAAAAGTTAAGTGGTGGATTAATTTTGATTTAGACTTATTAACCACCGAGAAAATTATGCAATGGGTACAAAATAATATTCAACATCCTCCTTTAAGTAAAAATGTGATAAAAAATAAACAAAAGCAAGCTTTCTTACAACAGAAAGCAAGATTTCTGGCCAGTCTAAGTATAGCTAGAAGTGAAGAAGAATTCAAAAAGATCATTGAAATCATATCTCTAGAGGTTACAAGCATATCCTCTGACAAAGACAACAGAAGAAGCCTCAGTCCAACTGAAGATAATGACTACGACTATTTTGATAATGAAGACGACTGCTATGGAATCTCTCTGTAGCCACAAAAGATAATAGACTTGACATAAAAAAAAAGAAGATTTGACAAAAGAAGAAATTATTTGACACAAGAAGACAAAAGACTCGACATAAAGAAAAAGAAGATTTGATAAAAGAAAAAATAATTACACTAGAAGACAATGGACTTGACAAAAGAAGACAAGAGAGAATCTTAGAATAATAAAATTTCACACTATAAATTGTAAGCTCAAGCTCATTTGAAAGCACGAGCAAATTTACTACCCTCAATATCCTTAAGAAAAACCCTCTCATTGTAATAGTCTTGACGTCTATTTGAAAAATTTACAAGAAGTTTGTACTACAATATTGTAAGTTTTATCAAAGTTTTAATACATCATCATTTTTATCATGTTTACTTTTATTTTGAAATTAGAACTGTATCGATTCAAACCAAACTGGTATTAGAGCATATATATATATATATATATATATATATATATATATTCATTTCCTTCTTCCTTTTATTATTCTTAACTCTGCTCTGTTATTCAATTGCTTAATTTTCTTTCCATTTTTAAGAAGGTTACAATCGTATATATTAATCTTTGTTGATGAATAGATGCAATAAAGATTCACATGACAAGGAGTACCCATTATTCACCTGTTTCTCCTTTTACTTAAGTACTAGTGTGTATGACATTCTAGACAAGCCTAGTTTACAAAAAATTTGATTGCTTAAGTGAAAGAAGCCTTAGGTAGAAAAGGTGATCCATATGAATCAAGGAGAAAGATGTTCGAAAAACTAATTTTGGTTACCAATTCCCTTTGTGTGAGGTGATAATGTAGAACATTAAGATTTTTGCCACCCCGATTTGTTCCTTTTCCAGTTCATTTCGCAAAGGAAACATCAGCTATTCATTTATTTATATATTACATGATGCTTTTGTTGAACTATCATAACTATCATATGTTTTCCGCATTAATGTTGTCTAATACATAGATTTAATGCAATCAAACTATTTTATGTAGTAATCAAAACAAACAAATACAATCCAGGCTAAAAATATATAAGCCACTAACTTAAATTCGTATTTGAATCCCCAAGGTTGCTGGTGCGGTGGCATGGGTGTAATACTAGCTTGAATCACTAAAATTTTACACCATATATCCCCTTATATTATTGTTATTATTATTTCTCTCACTTTTCATATTTTTTTTATATACGTATATCTCAAAACCACACTCGAAATACATAGAAAACAACTTAAAAATTTTCAGAGGAGTTTCCTGTACACTAGTTGTTTGAAATGTAAGGGTGAAAATTTTATAAAAATCCTCTAATTTTTCTTCTCCCATTTTGAGGGTACACAAGACAAATTAAAAGGAACAACTTAAAAAATAAAGACCGGGAGGGGGAATAAATTTTCAGTTTGGAAAAAAAAGATAAACTAAATATTTTTTCTTTCAAAAACATTGACTAGTATGCATTACTCAAGGGCAGTGTTCTGATGACCAGATAAAAAAGGGCAGTGTTTTGGAGATTATTCTTATCAAGGATATGGTTCTTTGACACATGGCATTGGATCTGGCAATAACTTCTGACCAAGTGGCTTCAACCCTCTTCTAGACCAGTAAGCTACAAATGAAGTTTCTAGCTTCCTCACCTATCATCACAATTATGAAAACACGGACTATCAGAAAGAAATGTTATTGCACTCATATTTCTTTGTTTAAATACATTTATAGTGATAAAACAACAAATTGATCAATCTTCATAAATAGAAAGTGTAAGGTTGATATGCCAATTAGATTTTAAAGGCAGTCCAAAAAAAAAATTGTTCTGCAAGGGTTACAATCTACCATTCCAATGGTATTAAAACTTGAGTGTTAACGGGTTTTGTTGACCCGATAAACCTGACCCAACCCAACCCTATTAAAAATTTGCAGGTTAGTTCAGATAAATCGGTCAGTTCGGATAAAAATATTAGAACTCAATGAAGTACAGATTGGGGTCACAACCCCATCCCGACCCAATAGACCTAACAATTACACATGGATTTTTTCCGATTAACTTTGCACCATTTTGATTTCACCTCAGTTTAGTTGCATCATATGACCAAGAGCACATAGCACCATGACAAAAGCTTAAGCTATAGTAGAGGCACAATTCTGGACATATAAACACCCTACGATAGATGCATACCCTTTTCTATTTAAGCCATTAGACATGGGCCACTGGGTTGAACCTGACCCAAAAACCCAACATGCACCCTAGGACCCTGTAAGCATATCATTGTCCCTAAAAGTGGTGTAGGAGGTTTCAAGTTTGATGATAATATCTGCTATGTTTTCTCTTTTAGCATGGGATTTGTCAAAAATTGAACTTCTCATTCATTTCTATTAATGAAATTTCTCCTATTATTGAGAAAAACTAATCACATCAAATAGTTTTAGCGCCCAAAAGATAAAATGGAAATGAAAAACAAACCTGCTTAACAATAAATGGCTCATCAGCAAGACTCAATGGCTCGGTCAAAATAGTTAAAAACCCATTTCGATTTCCGTAAACAATATCAGTGAAGGGCCGATCACCAACCTGCCACAAATATTATGGTATAACATAGATCTGAATCAAACTAAAAAACAAGCAGCTGATAGAAAGTGAACACCACAAAACTCTTATCTACCATGATTAATTGTGAAGCTTCACAACCAAAATGCTTCTCAATTTCTTCAGCTGTACCAGCTGGCTTCTTCACCCCTGAAGCATATATACACATCAACATCACTACTGAAGTCATTCTCCAAAGGGAATATTTCACAGTTCTAGCATTTTAAACAGAGCCGAAAATTACATAATTTCAATCTTCTACATAAAAGAAATATTGCAGAAATAATTAAGGCTCTAAAAGAAAAGGCAACACTCACTATGTCTGATGACTTTAATACCGATTGCACCTTCAAGCATCCTAGCCTTTGAACCATCATGGTCATACTCATGAAGTCCTGATTCACAAAACCAATAAAACAACAGAAAACACATATTGTGATTGTGTGAACAACTACAAGTATACAAACATGAAATTCAGAACAGTTTTGAAATGCTTCAAGATAAAATTACCAGCAGAGTTACTAAATACGGCAATATCAGGACCAAACTCCAATTTACATCGTTCCAATGAAGACTCAAGTGGAGGCCAGGGCTTCAAAGAGTAAGGCGCTGTAATAGTATTATCCTTGTCAAAGACAACACCCTTAAATCCCTTTCTACGTAGCTCAGCCCAATCAATGTACCTTATATCAGGAACAGAAATATGAGGCAGTGCCAATTTCTGGTCTTTTAAGATCACCATTGTTGAACATAGAATGCCCTCCAAATTGATTCTTTGGCCAAGTGCTGCTTTCACATCTACCCACCACATGTTTGTGAAAAGTAATTTGTCTTTGTTGTTTTTCTTGAATTCTCTTTGTTCGTCTACTTGATGTTGGTTGTGGTTTCTGGTTTTTGGATTTGATTTATTGGTGTCTTCTGTGTCACTGACAGGGCAGAACTCTAGAAATAACAAGTGTTTTTGGTTTGGACTTAAGTTGGAATTGTATCTAGCACTGTCATTACTTTCTTTCTCTTTGCTGCAATTGTGGGTCTGAGGAAGACTTAGGCTGTAGAAGTTTCTGAGGGGCCTTTGGCTATCTGCATTGGCAAGTGATAGAGTGGTGAGATTTCTCTTTTGTTGGGCACGATGATGGACGTTAAGATGACTGGGAATGCGGTACCAGCAACTTGGAAGCTGAGCAGCAGCAGTGGTTGACAGCATTTTTTAGTTTTTCTTGCTTAACTAAGGCCATGCCCACATGTTGCTGTGTTGTATGCTTCAATCATCACTATTTATAATAACAGACTAACAGTGATTAGCTTCACTACAATATTAAGGTCAAAACAAAATTTGAAATTTGGTTTTTAATTTAAAGATCAATCACAGATGACAATGCAACATCAATGGAAGTACAATAAGGATTACCATCTTACATAAACGATTCTGAATAGAAGAGCATTTGGAAAAGGAAAATGAAACACAAACATAAAAAAAGAATTGTTCATGCAAATTCAAATGTCATGTAGCCTTCTCATTCTAAAACCTTTCCAACTTAGCTTACAATTGCTATCATTCATTGATTCTCGGTCCTGTTGCCAAAAGTATATTTAATGTCTTTAGGCAAAGTAATAACAATTTAAAATGCTCAGAACTAAAACAAACCGCTCAAGGTTATATACTATGATATCCACTCAAGAATTGAGACCAAGAACCAAAACCAATGGCAAGATATTTTTACCCATAATAGAGATTGTTAATTTACTATTAGCTGTCACCATAAACCAAATCTGTGTTTATTTACATATGTCAACAAACATGGGACTTGATATCCAACCACCAGCATTTACTTCTCTTCACAATTAACTCAAAAATCATAGAATTACATAAACAACCCTCGTCAAATCATGAACCAACACTAATCTTACAGGTCAATGAGTCCTGTATCAATCACCTGCCAAAAAGGGAAATTTGCAGATAATTTCGTAGCATAAATGAATGCCCAGAATGTCTTATGAATTAAACTAAATAAACCCTAATTGGTTTGTAAAAATAAGTAATTGCAGAAATGTGACTTTGTTTTCACTCAGTTTCCTATTTTCAGGAATGTTTACACCATTTCTTATGCAAATCCTGGAAAATAGGAAATAAAGTAAAAATAATATGACAATTTGTAATTATATGTAAAACAGGAAATGATAAAAAAAAATATATCTTAAACCAAACAGACACAAGCTTTTAGTTTTTCAGTCCACCTCTGACATAAAACAGAGTGAGATACCCTAATCTTTGACACTTAAATTCCAACAATCATGATTATTAGGTGAAAATGAAATCCTACGCTAATCTTACTAACAGAGAACGGGCTCAAATTTATCAGGGTCATGAAATTTCAGATTGCATTAGTAACAGAGTATGGATACAAAAATGTGTGTAACTAGCATTCCTCAAACTGCAGACAAGTGATTTTTCACCCTTACAAAAAACAATCAGAAAAAATAAAATCTTAAAATTTCCCACAATAATTGATATTCACTTCCCTCCCAATTAATTCCAATGAGCCTTAACTAACCAGCGACCAAACAATAGCAGCGGAAATTATTGTTACATTACGAAAAGCATAATGGCACCATACCATACATCAGAAAATGCATATTCCCAGAACTGAACCCGTTAACATCATATTATTCCTACATCCAATTTCTAAAGAACAAATAATAATAATAATAATAAGGAACTCACTGAAAGGGAATTATGAATGATTGGAAAACGAGGATAACAAAGAGTGATAGAGAGAGTGAGTGAGGATTTTGGGTTATGTGTTTCTGCCGCAGCTATGTTCTGTTGCGTTGTGGACGGAATGAGGAATGAGGAACAATTGGTAGTTACATCAATCACCTCGTAGATACCTGATTCTTCGAGTCCTTTTGTTTCTGGGTTAATTACAGAACCTGCCATTATCAACATTTAAGGGTTAAGAACAAAATAAAAAAATTAGGGAGTTTTCTGGCTACTAAATGAATATTATTAAATAAAATTATTTTTAATAAAAAAAAGTAAATGTATATTGTATAATGAATTTCAAATGTAATAAATTTAAAAAGTATTAAATATTTTTATCGTTAATAATAAATGTTTTATAATATTAAATAGGATTAAATTCAATAAATAATTGTAAAATTAAATAAATATATTTAATTTAAAATTAAACTACAAAATTTAAATACTAAAGGAAAAGTCACACGGCGTAATACATTTTTTTTTATAAAATACTATCACTTAAAATAATTAAGTTTTTTTTTTTAAAAAAAAACAATGACATATATTGAACGTATCCCTACCCGTTCTTGTTGAGCCGAACTTAAATATGTTTTAATTTTTGTAAATAATTTTTTATTTTTCAATTTTCTATCACTACTTAATAATGACATAATATATATATATATATATATATATATATATATGTATCACATTATTAATAAGTAATAATTTTTAAAAACATTAAAAATTTATTTGGAATACGATTATATAAAAAACAGTTTTAAAGAATTAAAACCAAATTCAATTAGGACTGCAACTCACCCCTTTTTAAATTTATAAAAAAAGAGAACTTGACTTTCCTTAAATTGTACCACTTAACTTGACGTCAATTAATGGCTTAACTATTAGTTCTGATACTTATAATTTCTAAAGAAATTTTTTCTTTATTTTAGTAATTATGTTTTTTTTTTCTTGTTAACCATTTTATAAAAAATTTATTATTTTAAAAATTATTTTAATTATCATAAATTAATATTTAATGAAAATTTAAACTTTAAAGTGAAAGAATGTATTAAGTAAAAATTTGGAACTTATATCTGCCATTTTATTTTATTTTTGTATAAAATGAACTTATAAGTGGTATAACATCCCAAACTTTCAGTAATTTTTAATTTATCATTTTATAAATTATTTTATTCAAAGTACAAAGTGTAATAATAAGTTTTAAGAGAGAGGTGGGGGAGACTACATGAATATGAGGAAGGGCAAAAGAAAGAGACCAGAAGGGAGGTATAAAATAACATTTTTGTAGCATTCTAAAATTTCATATATCAATATAATTGAATTAGAATTAGATAAAAGACTAAGAATTTAGAAATTAAAACAAAATTTGCAAAATTGACCTAAAATCAAACCTAATTGAAGAAGAATTCAGAAAGGAAAGTGTGATATGATTCAATTAGAAGTAACAATTATTTTTCTAAACCTAATTAATTGATTCTTAATTACAAAAATTGGCTAAAAACAAGCAAAATAGCTCAAAATAGGTCTAGAATGTTGCCTCATTTTGTACAAACTCATGACTAGAAAATAATCCAAAATTTTTATGACATTTAGCTTAATGAAAATGCATGTTGGACGTGCAAGACGGAGCCCAGAAACCCGAAGATAAAATTCACCAAAAATCCCACGACAATTCAAAGATTCCAATTCCAATCCATTTGTACAACTGAATATAAGACATCCGTATTTCAAATAGTTTCGTCACCATTTTCGTATTCCTTAAGTAAATCTGCGAGTCTAAATTTTTTTTTTATAACATATATTGGGGTTAATTACGTCTAACTCAATAGCACTAATATCATGCAATGACATAATATAGAGTGTTAAATAGGTTAATTACACATTATTTTATTTTTTTTAACATATTTAATAGGTCTGTATAGTAACTTTTAAACACATAATTCATAAACTAGTTGCAATAGTCATAAGTTATTTCCTAATCAACTCATTTCTTATTCCTCTGGTCCAACTGAAGGATAGTCATTTTGCATCCATAACATTGTTAAAGGACACAAAACAAAGAAGAGGTGAGTATAAACATTCATAAATCATATCACTAGGCAATATTAATTGCTCAATGAATAAACAGACATAATCAATCAATCAAACAATCAATTAAACGTTGCAATGTGTTTTTATCATTTTTTTCTCCATAAAACAATTAATTATCCAACATTATTAATCCTGGGTTAAAAATTGAAAGTTTTGTATCTACAATCTAGCTAATGCCATGCGTATATTTTCTCTTACTAAAGACATTAATTGTAGTGCACAATTTTCTTTATGGTCACTTTCAGCAACCCATACTCACACTAATCATGAAATGTTCTAGTGCCTATTAGGATAGGTCAACACAATTCTCACTGCCTATGATATAAGTTAGCTAGACTTGGTCTCTTGTAGTACTCAGGTGCTCAACTATCCCCTATGGTTACTTCAACATTATTTACTCCACGCCTATACTTAGTGTTTTCAACAACTTTCCTTATAAAATCTATTCGCATTTATAATCACAATTACAAAAAAAATTTAGTACAATTTCTCATCCCTTAAACAAGAGATATGGCTACTTTCAATTTTTTTCATATTTCATGTACTAGCTTGTAAAATTCATAATTAAATCAATACAAATTCAAAAATTATGGAATCACTAGGGTTTTCTTTCTTTAAGTGTCTACTTTCATATAAAAATATAATCAATACAAATTCAGTTTCTCTCTGTTGCTCATAATTACCCTTCTTAATACTCAACATATTAGAAAATTCATAACTAATTTATTTTAATTATAATAATAATAAAATCGATAAGGATGGTCAAAGTGAATCCTTTCATTATGAATTCTTTAATTCAAAATGAATCAAATCTCTCTAAGTAGGATTCAAACCTATGACTCAGTTAATTGTTGACCGCTTTACCACTGAGCTACTGAGAAACAACGAGAAATTCGATCTTATCGAGTTCAATTCCTGTTTTCAACCCATGACTAATACGAACTCAAAGTTTCTTTTGTAGCCCATAGAACTTCTTCATAGTAGCTCCATTCAAGTAAAAATGCCTACATAGTCTATATATTCACTCACAAATATAATTTCAAGTTATAATTTATATCAACAGGTCACAAGTTGTCATGTTTCAGCAATAAATTATTGGAAAATTCATAACTCTTCCGTTACAACACTAAAAATTATGATATTAGTGGCATTGTTTTTATTTAGGTTTCTAGTTTCACAAAAAAAAAACTAAAAATTCAGGAACTCATATTTTAAAGGGAAGCATAATTTCTTTCTTCAAGTCATAAAGTGTCACTTTCAATATTAGTTTACTCATAACATCTTACCTATTTTATTTTAAGTCCACAATTCATTAAACCAATGAAAATATTTTTCTTTAAATATTTATTTCTATACAAAAATATAATTAAAATAACAACACCTACACAATTCAAAATGAAAACTAGTTTATCTATGTTGTTTCTAAAAAGTTACTTTTATATAATAATATATTCAAAATATCATAATTAATTTATTTCAAATTCAATTTGAGTAAAATAAGTGAAAAAATACTCCTAGTTCAGTCCTTTATTTAAATAAAATACCTATGTAAATTTTTGCTGAGAAGTCCTTATACCTTTTCAAAAAGTCTTTTTTCAGAACTCAGTAAATTTTAGGTTGTCCAGCATATTTCTACCATATTCATGGGTTATAATTCAGGTCTCCACATGGTCAAACTCATGG